GCTGATGCTTGTTTCACATCTAAAACAGCCTTGCCTTTGTGCCCAGCCTTACCAACAACAAAGAGCAAGCCTCCAATTCCTCGCACAAAGTTGAAGCGGAGTATCTCGATTGAGAACGCAATGACTGCCAGGGCAAAACAGATGACCAGGATCACGAAGCCGACGAGGTAGGTGGCAGCTGCTGCTCTCCCCCATCCTTGAAAAGAAAACGAGAAACATGTTACACACAGCAGTGCACTGAACTGTAGGTCACTGCAAGTCTTTGGTTTCCTTTAATTATTTTTTGTTGAAATCCTGTAACTACAGGGAGAATGCCTATGTCAAAGCAATACTGGATGTCTTCAAAGCACACAACTGCACAACAGAGAGGCACCATCGCTGGCGGAGCAGCACAGAACTCCCTGCCCGCCAACTCGTCCTGCTGAAAAGGGGGATACAGTGCAGCATGGTAATGGAGGTAACATCTCCAAAATCCATATCTGTAAGAGATTAACAGACATGTAAGCAGACAGAGCACACAAACCCTGAGAACGTACTTTGTCGTTATCGTTCCTGTTTGACATGCAAGTTTACAAAACCACTTCCATGCATGGGGAAGCATGAGAGCAGACAAGAGGGTAGGTAATTGCTGGGAAATAGTAAGTGGTGTCAGCACCCAGCATCTTGCCTGTTTGTTTATGACAAGAATAAAGCATGTGGAATAAAATTAGTATGACCAAAAAGAAACAGTTGGAATCGCTGAAGTGAGAGATGACAAAGAGAGAGAGAAAGCTCTTGAAGATAATTATCTATTCACAGCTGAAAAGATTTTAGAAACAGCTAAAATGTAGCAGTAGAGGAGAGACAGCAGAGTCAGAGGTAGACTGGAGGAGTCCTCTTTGAATCATTACTTTGATGTGTGATGGGATGGGGTGGCGCAGAGTCTTAGGTTCAAGCAACGGCACCGAGCAACTGCAGGCTAGAGAGGCTCAGACACAAAGCAAGTGGCCTTATCCCAGCAGAGCTACACCAGCACTGCACTCACCCACCACAGTGGCCAAGGCCAGAGCAATAAAGGCAAGAAAACCTCCCCAAAAACCCACCCAGCCAGCAATTCCCCTTTCACAGTAACATGAGCTTGGGGAAAGGCCAGACTCTGTCATCTTTAGAAACCAAGCAAGGAGTTCAGGTGAGCCCAATGCAAACAACAACCAAGCAAAGGTGTTCCTGCCCTGGAGGCAGGAGACTTGCCCACATGGGCTAAACCATACAGGCTAGTGCTTTGTTTCCCAGTCAGCAGTCATCACAGCTCACTTTCCACATCTGCATAACATGGGTTTCTACTTTCATATATTCAGACAGAGGTAGGGCCAGATCCCGAGCTCCCTCTAACGTAGGAATAAAGAGAACGGCGAGATCTAGGTCAGAATATTTTCAAAAAAAAAAAAAAAAATCTGTCTTTCATCAGAGCTGTCTGTTCCAACACAGCTGAAGCGACTCAGGAGACACTCTCCTCTCAGCATACCCTTCATTCTTTCTGTGCAAAAACTAAGAGGAAAAAGGCGGTAAGACAGGGAACCTTTTCCTAAAGAGTTAAAATCCTCCACCTCAACCCACATACTCCACTAGTTGCATAAATGGGGAAAAGCTAGTAATTTGAGTCAGAGAACGCAGTAAAACTATCTCAGACACCTCTACTACCTACATCAATTTGGTCCCTGAAAGCAAAGCATTGTTTTACAGCTATTTTCACTAGATTAGTCTGAACTGGTTTCTTTCCCCCCGTTCCGATAGCAAAAGTGAAATACAGCAGCCATCCACCAGCCAGATTTCAGCCCAAAACCCCCAACCACCACCGTCGCCCCCTGAAGACAGTCATGCTGGCATAGAAAGGGTAAGGAAAAGGGTTTTCTTTCCTCTCCCCCTTCTTGGAGCTACTCAAGACAGCAAAAACTTTTCAAATTGGTTCTCCTTCAGCCAGTCTTGTGTATTTCATACACCTTCCCCAAGAGTGCTGCAGGGTGAAGAGAGAGGAGGACACCTGATGAGTGTCTGGAGATTAAAGCTACGTCAGTGGTCCGATAAAATCTTTTCATACAAAATATTCTCTGATGTACCTAACGCAGGTACTGGCTACTGTCTCCACAATAGGGTTTATTTAAGGATAACTAATATAAAGGGATATTTAACCATTACACACAGCTAGCCCAGGAAAAGTGATTCAGACTAAATGACCTAGCAACGCTATTTATCGACATTTGCCCTATTAAGAAAAAAAGCACAACAAGAAGAAGGGACATTTAGTTATCAAAGTACATTCCCGTTCAGATGCACTACATATGCTGGCACAGCATAGGAAGTCATGTCTGGCATCTGCCTGATCAAATTTCGGTTGCAAACTCAAATATACCTGCAGGCTAGACACCTTGAGGTTTGGTGCAACACAAACATGACCGGAGGAGATACAAGTCAGAAAGCCCCCAGTGCACTCTCTGCTCTTTCCATATCCTCTGTGCTTACTTTACAAACACAACAAGCTTTTGGATACAGGTCAGCCCTGGCTCCACTCACAGTGACTTATTTTCTTGTCTCTGGCGATACAAAAATGACAACACACATAGCTGTAAGACATGTCTTGTCGGGAAGATTAATATTAAGCCCAGCTTTGTCTCAGGTCTTCAGAAACAGGACAGTAGTAGGCACTACCATTAT